ACATGAAAGTAAATATAATATAGTTGGAATAACAGAAACTTGGTGGGATGAAACCCACGACTGGAATATACTGGTAGAAGGATACAAACTATTCAAAAAAAACAGACCCCATAAAAGAGGAGGTGGGGTTGCAATGTATGTAAAGGACCACTATATTGCTAGAGAAATTCATGAAACCAAAGATGAAAACCACCTAGAATGCATATGGGTAAATATAAAAGAAAAAAAGAATGACATGGCCATAGGCGTATATTTTAGGCCACCCAATCAAGCAGAAAAAATAGATGTCCTTTTTGCCAGCCAACTAACAAACATATGCAGGAAACATACAACAATAGGAACGGGAGACTTCAATTATCCTGATATCAATTGGAAAACTAATTCTGCACCAAGTGAGAAATCAAATAAGTTCCTAACCAACCTAGCTGACGACTTTGTTGTCCAAAAGGTAGAGGGTGAAACTAGAGGGACAGCCATACTGAACTTAATTCTTACAAACAGAGAAGAAGTGATAGAGTGAGTTGAAACTGCAGGAACCTTGGGTGAGAGTGACCACGTCATACTAGAATTCAACATAACACAAACACAAGCAACAGAACATAATGACACCAGACTCTTGGATTTTAAAAGAGCTCATTTCAATAAACTCAGAGAGAACTTGGGAAAGATTCCATGGATGAAAATCCTAAAGGGGAAAACAACTCAAGAATCTTGGGAAACTCTAAAAAGTATGATCATAGAAGCCCAGACCAGCACAATACCACTGAGAAAGAAAAACAAGAAATCCAAGAAGAAACTAGCATGGCTGCACAAAGGTCTCTCTGGCAAATTGAAAGAAAAAAAGGACAAGTACAAAAAATGGAAAGAAGGACATACAACTAAGGCAGAATATCAGCAGATAGCCAGAATCTGCAAAGACGAAGTCAGGATAGCAAAGGCTCAGAACGAACAAAGACTTGCAACAAAAGTCAAAGACAACAAAAAAAGTTTCTTCCAACATATAAATAACAAGAAAAAAATCAAGGAAACAAGTCGGTCCACTAAAGAGAGAATATGGCAAGGAAGAATCAGGCAACAGAGAGAAAGCAAAACTGCTTAACTCATTCTTTGCATCTGTCTTCACACAGAAAGAAACTATAGCTCAACCCATCAAAAACATAACTGAAAAAGACAGACCAGAAATAAAAGTTAAAATAAGCAAAAAAATAGTAAGAGAACACCTGTCTGATCTTGATGAAAACAAATCATCAGGGCCTGATGGATTACATCCCAGAGTTTTAAAGGAGCTGGCAGAGGTCATCTCAGAACCACTGCACCATATCTTTCAAAAATTCTGGAGCACTGGGGAACTACCAGAGGACTGGAAAAGAGCTGATATGGTCCCCATCTTCAAAAAAGGGAAAAAAATAGACCCAGGAAACTATAGACCAGTGGTCGGGGAACAGGGGTAAATTACCCCAAATGGGGTAAAACTGAAAATCCTGGGGGTAATGAGGACGGTCGCGCTGGCGCGACTGTTCTCATTACCCCCAGGCATTTTATTTCCGACATTCTGTTTGTATAGTTTACATACACAAGGACCTGACGCAGTGCAGAGCTCAGAAAACAACGCGAGCCGAGGTGGCTTCAGCTCCGCTTGGCTTCGTTTCCTCAGTCCCAGCTGCTTTCAGTCCACTCGGGAGGAGGAGGAGGAGGTGGTGGTGTGGTGGTGGCTGGCGTTGTTTTCTGGGCTCTAGGCTCGCGGGCTCAGAAAAC